AGCAGAACGGGAAGGGAAAGGGAACACCAGAATAACCCTAGATAAATATAATGTATTTAATGTTCTAGTGCAGAGATTACATTAAAAGTAAAACACACAAGTGTTACAAAATTGATATCATCCCGAGCCAGTACGTCTCTTCGGGCTGAAAAGGGTCTAAGGGAACCTGAGCGAATCCGTCGGGTATAAGCTCAAGCTTGATCTTTATGGTCAGTAGTTACTAAGAAAACCCAACCAACCTTACAAAAGATGCTAGGAAGCCTGTACTGCAGCGCAGAATCTGGGTCGTAAGATGAAATCTGCTCGGACAGAGATACGATACGCAATCCCTATTCGGCCAGATAGCTCTTGACTTTGATGCGTGTCCAAACACCTACTGATACAGAAAAGCGCTGAGACTCGACTGATTTGCCATAGTCAGGCCCGTGGCTTTTATATCCAATATTTGCTGACCATAATTAGGTTAATTAGTCTGGTTGTGTTTTCTTGCTTAGTTTCAGTTATTTGTTGTAACCCGTGGCGTGGGTCAGTGTATTAAATTTGGTTGTAGCTCGTGGTCCCATGCAGGGTTGATACTATAATACTCGTTAGAGAGTGAATGCCTGATAATGATGGTATTAAATGGATTTTTGAAAGAAGGCAGATTTTTCTTCACAGGAATTCTCATCACTTGTATACATTAGACAAAACTTACACCTATCTTGTTGAGCAAAGTTACTCTCTCAGTTACTCTTAGGTTTTTAATCCATGAAATGGCATTATATTTTTCAAAGTCGAGTGAGGATCAGAAAAATCAAACCAGTACTTCGAGCAAATCTATTTATTATTATCTTAGCAGAGCGCTTTCGGCCTCCCGGCCATCCTCATTGCTAACTAAAAAGGGAGAACAACGAGCCTGTTGGAAAAATCTGTTCCGTGAAGTGGTGTGGTTGTGTACGGCATCAAAATTTGAAGGAGAAGGTTGTACTCACTCGTCAGTTAAAGTACACAGAAACCACTGAATGGACAAATATAGCAATAAGCATACATTGTGAATAGTAAATTAGAAAATATGTGTAAAAATTGTAAAAAGTTGTAAAAAAATGTTGTAAAAGGACTGGACTACGCATTAAAAATCGCGACGGACAGACACAATAAAGCCCCAATGCATTGAAGGGGAGAAAGGGTTAAAGGCATTACCCTAAAATATGCAATTATTCCTTGCAAATTAAAATGTGGTGTCAAGCAAGATCACATTTTGCCTTTCGCTCAACTTTTGAAGTCCCACTGACGACTGAAGTCAGTTTAGAAAATCTCTTAGTCATTGTGGTCACTATCTTTGTTCAAGAAGTGTAGTTATGATGTGATAATAGCCGCTTTCCAGCTGACATTGTGTTTGTGCTTCAAGCACGGTGCAGCACAGTGTTCTGTGTTTGAAGCGCAAAAGTTAGCAGCTCTCGAAGCGCAGTGTAACATTTTCAATTTCTTGGCTAATAAGCTACCTTGTTTTGCTTTAGTAGATATGATTCCATATAGAACTACAATGAAATAAATGAATAAACAACTATCTTTTTTGTGCCCAGATTTTGTTACCTTGAGTGCTGCCTTCTACTAGAAGTTTTTTTGGTTCAGGTTTGCAAGTTTGGTTAATTGATCTAGGAAGGTTTGATTCGGTACGGCAGGGCCCGCTGTTATTGATTAGAATCTTAGGAAAAGGAGTTAGTACCATCACCATCTCTGTTTGCAAATCCAATCAATAATCTGAGGTTATGATAATAATTGTTGTTTTTTTGTACTCTTTGACTTTTCATTTCCATCATGTCATTGAACAGCTGTTTTGTCTAGGCGTTTTCTTTAGACCTGTTCTACCTTTTGATATATGTTCTATAGGCACTTTTCAACATTCACCAGTCATTTTTTACACAACCGATTCTCAGTTCGTACTTTTGGGGTGAAACTGAACACGTCCTTTCCTATAATTTTCTTCAATGTCAAAGTTAGAAGTTTGACAGATGAAAGTCTTCTTCCGAAATCTAAATTCTAAATGAAGAATCTGCCCTTTTGATCTGCGACCTCACGCTGAGTAGTCGTCCGGTCTCGGGCCTCGGCCCTAATTATTTTTGGGGCGAGACTTTTTGGAATTTTGTGCCAGGGAGCTCAAGTTTTAGACTAATTTCTTGCTGATAATTGTCTAGAGTCGTCCCTTGGTCATTTTTGGATTCTGTTTCGGTAAGTTTGAGATTTTCTTCAGGAAATATTAACCTACAACACGTGTTCCATTTTTTTTAATAGGACTGTTCCGAGCTGCATTTGGAAGTTTAAGGCTTCACCTTTGGTCTAGAGTATCCCTCAATTTGAGGTAAGATTATTTCTAATATTTGGGGCTCGATTTGTTTTTTTATACGAACATCGTTATAGACTCCTAGTCTCAGGCTATAGTTGGACAATCCTACTCCTAGTCTCAGGCTATAGTTGGACAATCCTACTCCTACCCCTAGTCCTAGTGCTAGGCTGTAGCTAGACAGTCTTAGGCTATAGTTGGACAGCTCCTAGAAAGAGATTCTAGACTAGATCTAGATTGCTCTTAGTTGGCTTTGGTAGCCTCCCTTCAGCAACCCTCTTGGTACCGCTCTGCTAGAACCACATTGAGTTCTACGTTAAACAGATACCACGTGGATAGGACTCATGACTCACTTAGCATATCATTGTCTATCTACAGTGAGACCAAACACTTTTGGAACTTCTGGATTTACACATACATATGAAGATAACAAACACTTGTATCACATGTAAGTTACACCTTTTACTATATAGGCAAATCCTATGTAAATCACTGGATACTGAATTAGGTTCGGTAAGTGCCCCTTAAATAAAATTCTAGAATTTTACCCTGAGGTTGCCCTAACAATAACTTTCATCTTTCTGTGTTTAATTTGCCTGTTGGTAAAGTGTAACCCATACTGTATTTTTCTTATCACTCACAAGTGTAAATACCAAAAGGTTTTTAGTCATGTTCACTTAAAATTCATATTTATATATGCGTTATTTACATTAATTTTTTTATAATCAAATATTTATAAATTGGTACAAGCCATAATGATGTCCTGGCTATCCCTATTCATTATTGTTATTATTTTTTAAAGAAGCCAGATACATTATTGTGCCTAATTAGTTGTTTTATTGATAAGCTCTCCAATTGCACAGGTTTTGTTTATAACATCATTAGGTTATCTTCCTAGTTAAGTCACAATTAACTTGGTGGCGCCCAAAGGTAAGATGTATACAAGGAACCCATAGACCCATGGCCTCCGGACTGATGCTGACTAGCCGTATGCAGTATAATTAGGCAATTGCCAAAATAAGTACGTTATAGCAGTACGGCTGGAACACGAATACGCGCTTGAAGAATTTGTGCGCGCAAAAGCTCGATTGCATGCTCAAAATGGTCAGCTGGAAAGCTGTAAAGATGTCATAGTGACACTCCATCAGGTGGTAACAATGCAGTGATGATAACAGAATAGACTCTAGTGTTTAACTAAAGCGCTCTGCTAAGATAATAATAAATAGATTTGCTCGAAGTAAATTGGTTTGATTTTCCCGAGTATATTTTTTGTTCATCCAGAAAATGTAGGCCTGTGGCTGGATCACCATAATTATAATTCTATATCAGTTACCACACTTTGAAGTCAGAATTCTATTTTTACTGGCAGATGCCAATACAAATTCTGTCGACAATAAACGGATGTTTGGTAACATGACGCCACTAAAATACTGAACCATTTTCAATTTAAAAAAAAATACCATGACAACTAGAAATACGAATAATCCATAGGTAATAACTCAAAATTTTGAAAATATACCTATGTAGGTAGTTCTATGAGAGCTTTCTAAAAAAAAACTTTTAATTGGCTTTAGATTATCACATAGGTACCTATCTAGTTCCACTTAATTCGTAAACAAATTATCCACGTCCCTCCGCTTTTAACGCTTTGATAGCTAGCAGTCCGGTATCTAATCGTGCTGGGTAGTTAATTATTCCGAAAACGATTTCCCAGTTGCACTGATATACGTATTTATTGACTGTTGCTAAACCTTGACAATTAGATTAATGCTGGATTATTATCATCCTAATGCTCCGAAATCCTTAAATTGAAACTTGCACTGTCACACAGCTTTTTATTGTTCTGCACATTTTGATTGGCATTATACCGATGTTTTTTTAGTCAGTTGTACTTTAAATTAAGATTATTTATTGCAATGTACCTACAAAGAATGAGTTTCTAAAATCCTAAAAGTTTCAATGATCTTGCACCTAAATTTTACAATTTAATTCCCGTTACCAAGAACAAATCATTGAAAGATAAAACTTATGCAGGGCGTATATTTTTGAAAATACAGACAGATGTGACAGCCTATTTTCTTTAAACTGTTAAACTTGTAAGTAAGTATTTCCTACAATATATTTATTGGTTGTAATTGTTCGAGTGCTACTTTTGGGTTTCTGTCGTATCGTTCAGAAAAACTAACTCAAATAAATAAATCCAGAACACTTTTTGTCCTAACTAAATCAATGTCAATTTATATCATTGTAGTGTGATGTATAAATATTATTGAATGGAAATATAGGAATGAACAAATAAATAAATGAATAAATATATCAATTGCAATAGTTAATTGAAACGGCATTTAGAAGTTATATTACGATAATCCCCTTCTAGATTTTTTTTTGCATGAAATTAAATATTATGTTTTACTTACTTGATATTTAACATGTTTGTCGCGCCTTAAATTGCGGATCAATCATCATAAATCCGGAATATTTAAATTTATCGGTTGTTTTGATAACATTGTATTTTCAGAAACTATTATGCAATCGAAATCAGGCATATAGGTTATATGATAATGGAGTTGTATCCATAAGTTTTTGGAAGACACATGCTGGCCATGTGAGCGAATTAGACATCACATCTCAAAAACAAAGAAGGATGTTTTCATTGACAAATCAAAATCTGGTGTATCAGTGGATAGAGACTTAACAGGTGCAGAGCTCCAGAGAGTAAATTTGATTAACAGAGATGAAATCACTTATTTGACAAGAAAACACGACATCGATAACAAGAAAGACTGCAATGAAATGGTAGCTGCCGCTACAAGAATGGAAAAAAAAATTGCTTTTTTTTACAAGTAAGAAGGTATGAAACTTATATATTTTATAACATAACATGCTTTAGTTGGGGTGGATTTTATTATAGGTGAGTCACATATGGTAATAAAGAAGGCAGACTTTGCTTTGACTAGATTTCATGAATTCAGCGATGGAAGATAAATTTGAATGAATTTCTCAAATATAATTTGTATGGATGGCACACGGAACAAACAGGATGGGAATGGATTTAAGAATAATTTTAGTTAAAGATGATAAAAATGCTGGATTTCCAGCAGCATTTTTTTTTTTTAACAAACATGCTGGATCAAGAGGTTCAAAAAGTTTTTTGTGTGAGATTTCAAGAAAGTGTAGAATATTTTAATCCATATACATACAGCGTATTTCTGAATAGTGGGATCAAACTTCTAGGATAAATAGTACTCATTAAAATAAGAAAAAAGTTAATAAAAACATGGGTCTGCAAATGCTTAGTTTTCGAGTCGTCTAAGTTTGAAAAAAAAAATAATATTCAGGAATTTAAATTTACTCTAATTCAGTGGTTTCTCGCTGCTCTGAAAAGTGGTGAAGCGCTAGGTAGGTACTTCAAAGTAGGTGTAATGTATGCAAAATATAGTGTAAACAAACAAGGGATGAAATAAACATAAAGCGAGCAGGCGACGAAGTGGATCGGGAAACAAAGGCTGAGAACGTTCACTACACACGGAGGTCCTTATTCTTGAAACAGGGGAGCAACGTTCCCGGGAGAATGAGTGTTGTGTCTTTGTTACTTATATTATCATTTCCATATCATTGACAAAGACAGAACACTCGTTCTTCTGGGAACGCTGCTTCCCTGTTTCAAGAATAAGGATTGGATTCGGGTACTAGCGAGCGTGAATTGGGTTGTTTTAAAATGCAAAATACAAAATGTATTAGAAGCCTAAACAAAAGGCTGAGGTATAATATTATATCTGACAAAGTACAAAAGGTACTAAGGTAGAAAAGTACCACCTGTTTGACAAACAAAACCAAACAAACCCCTGTATTTTTGGGATATTGTTAATAGTCTCATTATGATTATGTTGTAGTGAAATACATCTATGTAATACCTAAGGTATAAAAATCCAATGCATTTTTAGAAAAATGGCGAACATTCCTTCCTTGGAACATGTTGATTTCGAGGGTGACGTTAGTTCTATAGGATTACGTTAACAGAAGTGGAATAGAGCCCTTGAAATCTACTTAGATGCTGCGAGCATTGAAGAAGCTAGAAAAAAAAGAGCAACACTGCTATAGTTAGTGGGATAAAGCCTTCAGGAAATATTCTATAGCTTACCTGGGGCAAATACAGGTGAACCTGATATTCAAGGAAATGACGTGTACAGCATCGCACTAAATAAATTGGATGAATATTTCTCCCCTCAGCAAAGCAAAATTTATGAAAGACATTTGTTCAGATTAATTAAACAAGAAAATGAGGAGAAATTTGAGAAATACCTGGTTCGTCTGAGACACCAAGCGGCAAAATGCCAATTTACAAACCTTGAAGAACAGCTAATAGACCAAATAACCGATAAGTGTTTATCAGTTGATTTAAGGAAGAAAATATTAGCAACTGGCGATGCAATATCTTAAATGGAATAATTGCGAAGGCGAATTCCCTGAAAACCATAGAAAGACAAATTTCAGGCTTTGGTGAAAAACCATCAACCAGTTTTAGCCAAGCGACAAGTCGTTCTGCTGCCATCAATTCAATCGCAGGACAAAGGAACAAAAGGTCATTTAGGCGTAAATGTTGTTCACGTTGTGGATCAGAGGAATATCCTGAGAAACACAGATGCCCCGCCAGAGAAAGTATTTTTAGGAAATGTAATTTTAAGGGACATTATGCCAAGTTCTGTCAATCGAAAAGAAAATTTCAACCTACGAACGAACCTGATCATTCATCAAACAAAAAAATCACCTGATTACCTACCATTCTGAAGTTGGCGAAGAAGATTACGTGTTTCATATCGACAGCGACGACCAGATACCTTGCAAAGTAGGTGGAATTAAAGTAAGTATGATGATAGATTCTGGGAGCACTACTAATATTATAGGGGATAAATCTTGGGAAATTCTAAAGAAATCAGGGATTTCAGTAAGAAACCAAATAAAATGTCTTTTTGCCTATGGATCAAAAGTTCCCTTAGATATATTGGGCTCATTTGAAGCCATTATTAAAATAGGATCAAATCAACAGAAAGCTACTTTTTATGTCATAAGAAATGGCCAACGTAATTTGTTAGGCAAGAGTACGACAATTTCTTTTGGAGTTCTCAGGATTGGCTCAGACATAAATAACGTTGATGCACTGGCATCTAATCGATTACATAATAGGGTACTTGCATGAAAAATTAAATTGATTATTGTTTATTGCAGACTGTAGGAAATAAAAAAAATCGATGCGTATTTTTTTTTTTTTTTGTCCTAGTACGATTATTCCGGAAGGTATGCAAATATTAAGTATTGCATAAATAGATATACTGAGCATGTGCGACGTCATAAAGTTATATGATAAGTGACGTCATAGGTAAATTTCATAGCGTTGTATCTCCGTCAATTTTTGACTAAGAAGAAAAAGAAAAAACACGTGTTGACTTATTTATTACCGACTAACGAAATCAGCGATAAATAAAATTGATGCAAGTACCGTTCTACGTTCTAGAGACCGAAATGACGTGTGCTTGCGCATCCTACCAAAGCTTAGATGTAAAAAAAAGCAGTTCAAACGAAAATTCAACATACAGGGTGTTCATTTTAAAACTTACCACCTATTATCTCCGAGTTGAAAAATTTTCGAAAAAATCCCTGAAACACATCAACTTTAATTTGAAGGGGGATGAGTTTTTATGCAAAATTTACCTCCACGATTCAACCCCCCAGCCCCCAGAGCCTCTGCCTAGAAAATCTTAAATAGAAAGGGGGGTCAAATGATACATCATTTTGGAGGGTTTTTAATTCCATACAATTTGGTGGTAAATTTTAATCCCTAAGTTCAACTGTTTTGGAAATATTGACAGTTGAAAAATTACTTTTTCGCAACTTTGACAGGCTGTAAAACCTAAACGATTAATTTTAGAGGAAAACTGATTACATTACATTCTTATCTTAGATTTTCATAAACATCATTTGACACCAACTTTACCATGATTGAAAGTTCCAATTAAATTTTAATCTCCGGTTAAATTCAAAGTTGGTGTCAAATGATTTATGAGTTTATGAAAATCTAACGGGCCAATTCTGTGCACATCTGTAAGCAAATCTATAAATTTCTATAAACCTATAGCTGCCTATAGACAATTTGCGATTCTGCAAGTCTTGTAGCTCACAGAAAATCTTATAGAGTCGTAAATATTTATGATCGGTTGTTTGAAAATCGATGCATTTTGAAGTGTCTATGGGCTTATAGAAAGTTATAGATGTGCTTACAGAATCAAAGATCGGGTTGCCTCTAAAACTAACCGAATCAGCACCAGTTCAAGGAGAAGCTATGGTTGAGCTTACTTTTGGATCTACCACCTTCAGGCACAGAAAATTATGATTTTATTTTGGGAATGGATTTGATGGTCCAACATGGTTTTTCTTTTGATCCTTCTATGAATATCCTTAAATTTGGTATTGAAGAATTTGTTCTAACTACACAAGAAGAATCCCAAGCCGTGAAGATCCTGGCCACAGCCCCAGTGAGGATTCTTGGGAATACTGAGAAGATCATTCGCGGAAAATTGGAAACAAACCCTGGGTGCTGCGTTGGACTAACACATAATTTTATTGGAGATAAACCAGAAAAATTTATCGTTGGAAAGACTCGAGTAAGAACAAATGGAGACATTATGATAAAAATTGCCAATGTTTCTTCTGAAACAGTGAAAATAAAGGAAGAAGATATTATTGGAACTCCCGATCCTGTTAAGCAAATTTCGAACTGTGACCTACCAGGTCAGCGACATTTTGAAAAATCGAAATTGGATACAGACACCTTAATGCAGACTTTGGCGAAATCATGGAAACATCTTGATCCTAATAGACTTCAGGAAGCCATAGATTTCATCTTGAAAGAAGCAGACGTATTTGTGATGAATAATCAAACCGGACGGGCCAGCTTAATTCAACACAAAATTGATACTGGATTGACACACCCAATTAGACAACCGCCACGACGCATGCCAGTAGCTAAACAACAGGAAGTGGAGAACCAAATTGACAAAATGCTTCAAGAGGAAATTATTAAAGAGTCAAATAGTCCATGGTCTGCCCCAGTAGTATTGGTTACAAAGAAAGATGGAAGTCTTAGATTTTGTGTGGACTACCGTAAGCTTAATGACGTCACCAAGAAGGACAGCTTCCCTCTTCCGAGGATAGACGATACATTAACAACTCTTTCGGGCTCCAAATGGTTTTCTACCTTGGATCTCAGAAGTGGATACTGGCAAGGGGCAATACACGAAGATGACAAAGAGAAAACTGCCTTCAGTAATGGAAGTGGGCTTTACCAGTTTAACGTAATGCCTTTCGGATTGTGTAATGCCCCAGCTACGTTTGAGCGACTGATGCATCTTGTTTTGCGAGGCATTACATGGAGAACTTGCCTGGTATATTTAGATTATGTCATGATCATGGCAATTTTTTTCCAAGAACATCTCAATAACCTAAAAGAAGTTTGCGACCGCTTCCGGAAAGCCAATTTGAAACTCAACCCAAATAAGTGTTTTCTATTTCAAAAGAAAGTGGAATTCTTGAGTCACATGGTATCTGAAGATGGCATACAAGTTATGGGAGGAAAAATAGATGCTGTGAACTAAGAAGTTTTCTAGGATTATGTTCTTATTATCGAAGATTTGTGGAAGGATTCGCCACTATAGCTGCTCCGCTTCATCGATTAACAGAAGAAAAATCAACATTCAATTGGACCCAAGAATGCGATTTCGCATTTAGAAAATTAAAAGGAGCATTATGTACAAGCCCAGTGTTGTCCTATCCCGATCAGAAGGGCATG